CTGACTTGAACAATGAAAACTGTCAGTGAATCCCCTCTGAGGGGTGCTGGACTTGATCAGGTTTTCAATGCTTTTTGTAGTTTTGTTTCTGTATTTTTTGGTTTTGTTTGTTCATATTAGGGTTTACTTAAAAGGTGGTATGACAATGGGGGACACCCCCTTGAGATTTTGTTATATGTCTTTCTGTTTTTTGGTATATGAAACCCAGGAGTGATGAACCTGTGGGGACAGAAAGTAGAATAGGGGTTTGGGCGGTGGTGGTGGGGAATACAATGGTTGTGGAGGGTGGGGTAAAAGGGCGATGATGTCAAGGGGTCTAAGAAGAAAAAGAATATCTGGAAACTACTTGTTAGGTAGCAATTATATAATACTGCTAGATGTGATTGAACTATAGAATGATGGGGAGCACAAATCAGAAATGATTCTAGAGTCATGGGAATTGTTCAGAAATATGGATTTTTTATAACAGGTCATCTGCTTGTGTATAAAGGCTATTTATTTTTGTAGACTAGTGTGATGGACCATACAGGAAACCATCACCCTTGTCTTATTTCTCTGTCACCTGTCTCCCTAGATAGTTTCAAAATATTCTTCATAATCTCACTGAACAACAAAAACTAGCAGAGAGGAGCATGGCTATCCTTGGTGGGTTTTTATGTAACTATTATGTTTAAACCTATGGCTCATGGAGACACTTCCATCCTGATTTGGGGGAACTACCACCTGTTTTCCTCTAGCAGGTCCGGGATCACAGTCTATTCCCATCCCTGTGGCACTGGGATACAGTCTTGTTTATTAGGTTAATGGGGTCAAATGGGAAATGTTTTATCCAAGAAACTACAATTTTCTAAAATCTGTAATGTCCTGGGAGGCATAAAATATTATAGTCACTACCTGAACTTCTCATTTAACAATTATTTTGCTTCTGTGTTACAGGGTCTAGCTGCAAAACTGGGGAGGAAAGAACTTTATAGCATACAATGTGGATTGCCTGGAACTACTAATTGTAAAAGTCATGAACTTGACCTCTTATAATATCAAAGATTAATCTACAGGACAAAAATAAGTATTACGATAAGATTTATCATAATACTATATAGATGCATATGAAAATAACATGACTTAATACTAAAGAAAATTCTCTAAAACAAACCCAACCTGATTCTGTGAGTCCAACTGACTTATGGGAACCAAAGTATTATAAGTTGAATTATGTTCCACAGCTTTAACTGGGATGTAACTGTGAAAATAGGTTGCCAGTCTTTTCTACCATAGTGCTAAACTCTTAGGTTACTAGTGTTCAAACCATTTTGCTGCTCAAGGACCTTGCAAATTCTGTAATAAATATGTAGCTATAAAAATTGGAGCTATATGATATTTGCCCTAAGGAAGGGAACACAGAAAATTCGGGTGTTCTAGCAAAATATGGCTGACAAAGTTATCAGGTAAGTAACATTTGGGGTCTGAAAGGCTTGTCTCCAAACAAACAGCCATCTAAGTGAGATGTCACCTAAATCCACATGGAAGAGCAACACCAGCATTAGACATCAAAGGATTTGTAAATCTAGTAATTCAAAGTCAATATGGAATAG